ATATATATATATATCCATATAGTGTAGTCGAAAGAGCGTTTTAATGTAAAAAAAGTCTCTGACGACTACAATTTTAATTACCTCGTCTCTTAAGCTGTATTTGATTGTCGTCGAAATGTCAAAGCAATTAAATTAATGCGGAAGTACATTAAATTTTATTGTTTTTTAAAATTTTTTTAAAAAACCGCAATTATAACGACTAGAAAGTTTTTTTTTATTAGTGATGTTTTTGTTTTTATTTTATTAAAAACATTTTTAAAACATGCGTAAATATTGCTACATCGACTATCTTATAGCCTGACTCGCAATGGAGTGCTGCTACATCGACTGACAAATAGCCTGACTCCCAACGGAGTGCTGCTACATCGACTGACAAATAGCCTGACTCGCAACAGAGTGCTGCTACATCGACTGACAAATAGCCTGACTCGCAAGGGAGTGCTGCTACAACGACTGACAAATAGCCTGACTCGCAAGGGAGTGCTGCTACATCGACTGAGGGTTTGGTTTGGGCAGGCAGTCTATCATTTGAAAAAAAAAAAAAAATTTAAGTTTTTAAACTTTTTCTGGTCTGGTTTATTAACGCGCTCTTTAAAACTACAGTTTATGGGAAACTCTTTTCAACTACCATGCAAGAGTATATATATATATATATTATATATATACATATATATATATATATATATATATATATATATATATATATATATATATATATATATATATATATATATATATATATATATATATATATATAATTTTGCTTATTTTGAGTACCAGGTTGACATACTTTATAAAAACTTTTTTTTTAATATATTAGGGACCTGTCAAATTTTTAAGGGTTGAGCTACCCCTAAAAATATTTTTTTTTTCAAAAAAATTTTTAACTTATTGTTTTAGTATTATATAGTACAAATTAAAGGGGTTAGAACAGGTTTTTCTCAAAAAAGTTGTTTTAAAAGCCACCCTACTATATATATTATATAGTATGTTTTTCTAAAAAAACTACTATGTTTTTCTAAAAAAATAACTTAATGTAAAAAGCCATAAAAATAAACTTACAACCAGGATCAACTGTTATAACAGGGGGATAATAAGGTGTAGTCAGAGTACCATTTTCAGTATTGGCAATTACAAATGTAGAATAAAGCTCTCCATCTTCAATTGCAAAACCATCTAAAAAAATAAATTTTTTATAAAAATACCCTAAATATAATGAATATAATTTACCTTAAATAAAAAAATATTCATTAAAAAAAAGTATTCAATAATAAAGAATGAAACATGAAAAAAATGTATGAAGAAAATTATTAAACTAATAAAAATAAAACACTAACTATCCAAACTTCTTCGTTTACGACCAGGCGCTGATTTTGAATTACCAGAATTAACTGCAATGGAATTTCCATTCTTAGATGATAACTTGATAGAAGATATTTCATTAGATGATACTGTGACTTTTGCAAAGCGATGCCAACCATCTAGGTGATTATCTATATCTTCACTAGTATACTGGCTTGGAGATTTTGAAGGAATGATAAAATCTGACTGTTTTCGAATAATAACCTCAACATATCTGCATAAAGATTTTCAAAACAAAAAAAAAATACATAAGTGTGTAAAATAATGTGTATAATCAGAATGAAAAATATATCAACATGCAGAAGAAAAAAACAACAACAGAAGAGCATATCCAAATAGGAATATTAGAATTATATAATATTAAAAGTATATAAAAATATTGAAAAAAAAAATAAAAAAAGCACAGTAGCAAAAAGGAGTTCTTGGATATTTAATATTACTTGATATCTAAACTAAAATAGTAAAATAAAATTTTTGTAATGCTTTTAACCTTCCTAAGGCTGGTTTTTAAATCTCCCTGCCTCTACAGTTGAGAAGGTTATTTTATTGTGGTTCTCCCTTTCTTAAATCTTCAACTCCACAACACAAACCTTGACAAACAAGACTGCAATGCAGTGAAACAAGTTTAGCACAGCATGGAACATTTCACTTATAAAGCGAGCGCTCTACTACAACTTTAACTCAGATAAAACTAAATTTTTTTCAGTGAATGGTTATCACAACAACCCAGATCTTCCTCTATTAATGAACAGTAATGTAATTGATTAGTCAAATACCCTTCGTATCCTTAACTCTTACTTCCAATCTTTCTTGGAAACCATATATCAAATCCAATGCAAAATTAGCATCTACTAATGTTGCATCTGTTTATCATGCTTGCCACTTTCTTACTCCGGATTTTATTCTTTATCTCTATAAATCTCAAATCCATCCTTGTATGGAATACTGTTGCCATATCTGGAGCGGATCTTCAAATGATGCCCTTTCTCTTTTAGACAAGGTGCAAAAACACATTGTAAACAAAGTTAGACCTGCTCTTGCAATCAACTATCAGCCATTGTCGAATTGTTGTAATGTTGCTTCTTTCTCCTATCTAAAAATACTTTGATAGGCACTGCTCTAAAGACCTAGCACCTATTGTGCCATCTATTAAAATTCAGTCTAGTATTACTCTTCATTTAATTAAATCTCATCCTTTTAATGTGACTGTTCTTAAGAGTCCAATAATTCTTGTTTGCCTAGTTTTGTTTCACAAACATCAATTCTTCGGAATTCGTTATCTTCATCTTGTTTTCTTGGTGCATATAATTTGCTATCTTTAAAGTCGTCTGCTAATTGTTATCTAGCTTTATAAACTTCATCTTTATTTTCCAGTAACTTCTAACTCTAATAGTAATTACTTGCAGCCTTGTTGGAAGTGAAGATGTTTAAAAAAAAAACTTGTTAAAGTTTTTTGTATTAGTAAAAAGATTTTGAAATTCTATTAAAAACATTAAAAAAATATATTATAATGAATAAAATTAAATAGAGAGAATATATCAAAATCTGTCCTAGTTTATGGTGACCGAGCACTAAAATACAATATAATTGCCAAGTGGGTTGCTCTATTTTAAAATAATAGAGAAAGCCTTAAAACGGTCCCTACTATAGGTACCATTAAACCATAAATGCAGCAAGAAATATCCAAGTAGCATGTACCATTAACTAGAAAATATAACTAGAAACACTCTGGATGTATATATATATATATATATATATATATATATATATATATATATATATATTATATATATATATATATATATATATATATATATATATATATATAGATGAAATTTAGTTTGAATTCAACTAAAAAAATCATTGGTTTTATTTAACCCTTTATACTGGGTTTCATATACATAGGCTCTTTTGCCATAAGGTAAATCTTGGCAAATGCCTAGGGGCACTAAATGTTTTACCTAGTTTAAAAATTTTTATTAGACATTTTAAAATTTTTTATTGCCTAATTAAATTTAATTTTGAATTTATTTGAGTTGTTTTAAAACTATTCCTAGTTTAAAATAAACAACAAAGATTTTTAGCAACGATAGGTAGGAGTGTCTTTAGGCAAAAACATTTGTTCGAAAACTTACATTACATAACCTAATAGTTGTTAGGTTGTGAAATAAAGATTACTGGCTTCTATTAATACTTTTACAGTGTAGTTTTTCTTTTTATTAAATCAATAAATAAACAAAAACAACAATTAATTAGTTTTTACTGTAATCATGTATTGTTTTAACTTTTTTAATTACCTTCTATTGCCTAAAGGCACTGTCCATATTTCAGTACAATTTTTTTTTTCTAATATCGAATATTAAATTGGGTCTCAAAAAAATTCAAATTTTATAAATAATAAAAATTTTTAATAAAAAAGAATTAAATTATATATATATATATATATATATATATATATATATATATATATATATATATATATATATATATATATATATATATATATATATATATATAAATATATATATATATCATATATAGATGAATATATATATATATATATATATATATATATATATATATATATATATATATATATATATATATATATAATTTGTTCTTTTTTTTTTAGTCTATGCTGATGGCGCTATATGTTTATATATACTACAAAATAGATGAGTAATATAAAGGTATATAAAAGGGTCAGCATAGAGTAAAAAAATAGTATACACAGTATACAAAAAGTGTATATACTGTGCCGGTTGGACCAAATTTACACCATGATTGATATAGATATCTTTTTAATTTATAAATAATGAAAAGAAGTAGTAGAAGCCTGACTTTTTTAAGATTGATTGAATAACCTATCTGAGGCTATTTAATCAAACTTAAAACTCTGTCTATTTGGCATTACCTAATATTTCTCAATCTGAGATATAAACTCATTTTGAGAAAGAAAAAAACAAAGTTAATAAGAGAATAAAAGATATGTAACAAAATCAATTTGTCTAGTGAATGTTTATTTATGAAATTTTTTTTATACTCATTTAACAGCTAAAATAATCAATTATAAATAATTTAAGTTTAATATTTGATTAAATTCTATTTAAATATTAATAATAATAATATTAATAATAACTATTTAGATCTGAAATATCAAAATAAAAGTCAATAAAATATAATTCAATCCCAGTTCCCAAAACAAAGAGAACAAGAAAACAAAAGTTATTAAAATAATCATTATCAAAGTCATTATTAAAGTCTAAGATAAAACAAAAACAACAAAAAAACAAGATGCAGAATGGATAAAAAAGCAAGTAAGGCTAAAAAATACATACCTAATAACTAAACCAGTTAAGAATGATCCAACAGTAATTTGAAATGACTGAGCAGTAACAGCAGTAGCTGGCTTACCTAAAAAATTAATTTTTTCAAGCTTTTGTTCAAAAATATTATAAATAATTGATAGGCTTGATAAAAACTTTGAAAAAAAAAGTTTTTGAAAATAGATAAAAAAAATGGCTACAAATAAAAAATTCAGTAAATAAATAGTTTAATTTAAATAAAATTTTACCAATACAGCTTTTATTTGTGTCGCTTAGCAACCAATCTCCAGTACAATAGCAGTTAAAACCTCCATAGGTATTGTTACAAGCACCATAAAGCCAGCTGCATTCTTTGTCAACAATACACTCATTAACATCTAATAAGAATTGGTTTTTAAAAACAAATTTATCCAAACTAAAAAAAGTTAAATAAAAAAATAAAAGTAAACTACCTAAGCCTGTTTTATTATGTGTCAATTTAAATGTCAATTATAAATAGGGTAAGTTTGTGCATTTTTGTATACTGTATATTTTAAGTCTGTCACTTTTATATAAATTTTATTTAAACAAAAAGTTTTGCAAAACATAATGTAAACGCAGATTAATATAGAGCAGGACAAGATCTATCAGAACATGTAAAAAATATTTTAGTTTGATGACATTTTTATGAAGGTAGAAGGGTTTATTGGTACCACAAAATGCCAAACAACAACTACAGCAAAGAAGATGTTGAGGATGCTTTGAAACATCATCGAGAGCAAGGAATATCATTAAGAAAGTGTGCTTTTAAGTTCATTCTCCCTAAATTGACATTGATTGACAGAAATAAAAATAAAATGTCAACATGGAAGGCTAACAGCTTTATCAGTTGAAACTGAAAAAATATTGATTTATTTAATTCAATGTTTTAATGACTGAGGCTATGGTTTGCGACAAGCTGATTTAATTTCTATTGTTCAACACTATTTGTCAAACACAAAACAAGAACATTTATTCAAAAAAGGCTCACCATCATGACAGTGGTAATAGGATTTTAAAGAGAGATGGAAACAAAGTGTAACATTATGCAGAGCAGATAATATAGCATCAAACTCTCTAGTATTTTGTTAGGTGTAATGTTTTTCCTAATGCATTTCCAAATTATCATGCTTGATGCTTTAAGGTACTGTTTGCAGGAAGTCGCTCTTTTTTATTACTCCAGGTCATGTCAGGTTCAGGATTATTAGGATTATCCTGCTACTGGTACCATGTAACCTAGTACTACCTGCCCTACACCCTGCTGCCTTGCAGAGTGTGCTTTTTTAGGAGAAGGCTAGAAGAAACAAACTCTGACTTAAAATATTAGGCTAATATTACATCTATTAGGCTGGCATAGATGTAAACATGCGTTAAATTGTTTCCTGCTTAGGATGATGAATGCTGGATCTTCTTGATTCTTCTCATAAGTTTTTGCTTGTACCTCCTTGATAATGGATAGGCAACTCTTCCTGTTAACTCCTAGTGAGGGTACAGCACTAAAACTCAGTTTAATGGTTCTGAGGCCAGCTGCTAGTAAGGTTTCATGAACTCTATAGTAGATCTCAGAGAAGCTGATTTCATCAATAGCTGCAAAATATCAGAGTATTAACAGTGCCCTGTTAATGATTTTGGTGAGATTTGTTGCCCTATGCTATGACTTAGGGTTAACTTACAAGATTGAGAAAATTTCATAGCTCATTGCTTAGAAGGTCGTGCTCTATCTTATATTGAGTCAAGTTCTCTTTAAACTTAAACCAAAAGCAACTCAAAATATTAAACATAAAAAACCATCCCCTTCACCTAACTGTTTTAATATATCTTTTGCTAATATTCGTGGTCTGCGAAGCAACCTTCCATCAGTTGAATCTTTCAAAATTCACCAGACTTGCTGGTGAATTTTGAAAGAGGCAAGTTTTTTTTCTCAGAAGGCTCTAGAAACTTTTGAAAAATCTTCAAAAGCGTCATAAAAAAAGGAAGGTCTAACATTCCATTTCTCACTTATTACCTCTTCCAAGGATAAAGCAGAACTTTTTGCAAAGAACTTTTCTTCTAATTTAACTCCTAAATTTTTATGGCCATTCTCTTCATTCCATTCCAATTAAACAGGAATGGAATGAAGAGAATGGAGAGAATCATTCCATTGTTAGACATTCAAATCACTTTACTCCTTTGCTAAAGTCAAATTTTAGAATAAACTCTTCTATTGCTTGTGGTCCAGACAAAATTTCTGTCGCAGCCTTACAAAATTGTTCTCCAGAACCCTCTTCGATTTTCTCTAAACTATTTAATAAGTGCTTGTTTGAGTCTTGTTTTCCTGCCTGCTAGAAAATGGTATATGGAATGTTATTCCAATTTTCAAAAACTCTGGTGAACATTCTGACTCCTCCAATTATTTTCTGATCAGTCTTTTTTCTGTTATTAGCAAGGTCTTTGAGTCTTTGATTAAGAAATTTCTCACATCCCATTTTGAGTCAATTTACTGTCAGACAATCAATACAATTTTCGATCCTCTTGCTCATGGCTGACTTGCTATTTGCTGTGACTGAAAGATTTTATCGTGCAATAGGTGGAAGCAAAAAGGCTAGAGCCATTGCTCTTGACACACCTAAGGATTTTAACAAAGTTTGGCATGGTGGTCTTCTCTATAAGCTTGTTTTATATAGTGTATCTGGATAAGTTTTTGAGATCATCAAACCGTTTCTTTCTAACCACTTTATTTAAGTCATCCTTGAAGGCCAACACTTTTCTTTATTTCCAGTAACTTCTGGGGTACCTAAAGGTTCTTTCTTATGTCTTTTTTTTCTTATCTACATTAATGATCTTCCCAATTTTTCTTTTCTAAAGTAGCTCTTTTTGCTGATGACTTAACTTTATACTCCTGTCTTGACAAAAAGTCTTTTCTTTTTGATCACTTAGAACAGGCAGCCTATCTTGAACCTGATCTTACTTCTGTAACAGATTGGGGCTCACAGTGGTTTATGATTTTTTATTCCAATAAAACTCAGTTATTTACTGCAAACAACTATCGCAATACTGTCCACATTCCTATATTAATGAATAGCATCCCTCTCACTTTGCCCTCTCCTTTACATCTTTTTGGATTATTGTTTACTACTGGCCTTTCATGGAAACCATATATACAATCGATTGCTAAATTAGCATCCGCTAAGTTTGCTTCTCTTTATTGTGCTCGCTATTTATTCTCTCATGTTTCCATTCTCTACCTCTACAAATCTCTTATTTTTCCCTGTATGAAATACTGTCATATTTGCGCTGATTCTTTTAATGATGCTCTTTCTTTTCTAGATAAGGTCTAAAACGGCATTGTAAGACCCGCTCTACTGTTAAGCCTGAGCCCCTTTCCCAACATTGTAAAGTTGCATCTCTTTCTCTTTTCTATGAATACTACTATGGTCACAGCTCAAAGGAGTTATCATCTTTAGTCCCATCAACTATAACTCATATTCTTGCTTGACTCATCATTCAGCAAAGTCTCATTCTTTTACTATATCTGTCCCTGCATGCTCCAAAAACTTTTATTCGTCTAGTTTTTTCCCTGCACTTTAACACTTTGGAACTCTGTTTCATCTTCATGTTTTCCTGACTCGTACAACCTTTAACTTTTCAAGTCTTTTTTCAACCGTTTCCTTGCTCTTTAACTCTATTCTTTTTTTTCTAGTAACTCCCAACTTAATAGTGGTTGCTTGCAGCCTTAATGAGAGTGAATCAGAATTTAAAAAACCATTAAAAAAAAACAGAGAGTCATCTTGAACTTCTCATATAACTGAAAAATGTTTTCCAATTAGAAGTAACAATATAATGAAGCTAAAATTAATAACTTAAAAGCTTTACATATTTGGAACTGCAATGAGTGTGGTTTTGTGGTGACCAAGGAAATATTGCAATTTTATGCTGAAAAGGTTCAAAGCTGGCCAAATAAAAGCTGTGTGTACAACACCACAGTAGAAATATATAAGACCAGCTGTATGTACAGCACCAACAATGACATTAACAGACAGCCAATCAACACCACCAACAACACAAATGCAAATGCAAACACCATCTGCAATAGCTTAAACAAGCCATAAAGTCATACAACTAGGAATGCATAACAACCAAAATATGAGTCAATCAATCATTAACATCATGCTTAAATTTCTGGTATAACGCCACTTCCATAAAACACTAGCTTTAAAAGCTCAAATAAAGGTGGATAATCCAGACATTATATGATAACTGAGACGTGGTTTAAAAAATCATCAATAAAAAATTTCGACAGGTATGTATGTTCCAAAAAAAAAAAAAAAAAAAAGGTCTTGGAAGAGAGACTGCAATAAATGTAGAAGAATCTATTACCACAGGCAAATGTAGTATTAATGCATGCAAAAAAACTGTTGAACAGGTATGGAGTGTTATATGCGGGGTTGTTTTTACAGGCTACCAAACAGCATACTTAAAGTGAACGTTAAATTAAACCTAATCAAAGAAGAAGCCAAAAGTATATTGGACAACAAAAAGTTCTCTCAATATCAAATGGTCACACTATCTATCCATTAGCATTAAAAGAAACTGTTAAAAAAGCTTACACTTTGCAAAAAACTACTTCCTTCCTGGGGGAAATAATTTTACTTTGCAGTAAAATTACTTCCCCCAGTGTGTGTCGAATCAAAATTTCGAATTAAGCATGGAAAACAAACAAACATACTAGATCTTGTAGTATCAGATGACAGTAAAAGAGTGATAGACATGGAAAAAGAACTGCCACTAGGATAAATAAAAAAGCACACAATTTATTATTTAATGGAGATTTGTCACAAACAGCATCAAATGTGAAAAAAGCTGTGTAAAAATCAGTGAGCAAGTACGAAAAAACAATTATTATCAAGATAAAAACAGATTCTCAAGTATTTAATTTATTATAGCAAAAAAAAAAAAAAAAAAAATAAAACACAAATTTCATCACAAAGAGAGAGACAATACAGGTGCAATAACCTTTAACAAGGAAATAATCATCAATTGTCTAAATTATAAATTTAATTTGAACAAGGAAAAATTTGTCAATTGTCTTAATGATAAATAAATTTCAAACCTATATTCGTGTCTGAAGGAGACAAATACAGGACTACAGCGCTTCGAAAATTAAAAAAAAAAATTGACTGGGACTGGAGAAGTACATGAAAATATTTTTTAGTCAAAACTTTTTTGGCTTGGGGAAATAAAGGACAATATGAGCCTCAAGCAATTTAATTAACATTCATGTTAAGAAACATAACATCTCTATTAAGCCATTTTTAACAGAACAAGCTGATAAAAAAAAATGCAAAATAAAAAAAAGCAGACAATGTAAAAAAATTTATAAAACAAAACATCATTACAATTTTCTCATTTAAAAACTACATACTGATTTAAATACTTTTTAAATCAGTGTGTAGTTCAATATGATTTTATCAAAATGGAGTTTGACAATGTGCCTGTATGTATATGTCTGAATAAACAAATAATTAAATGCTTCTGCTCTATAAATGCATTTCAAACATGGTTAAGTTTGCACATACATAAACAGTTACTTAACATATTCATATTAACTTGAATATTTATAAACGAAATCTTTTTAAATTTTTCACGTTTAATGTGATATCAGTAAATACTGACTACAATGATTTTCTAATTTTCTAAATTATTACTGATTTAAAACAAAGAAAAGCATACCAATACAACTTGTTTTATTGGAGTCTAATTGAAAACCTTTGTAGCATGAGCAGCTATAACTTCCTATAGTGTTTGTGCAATTGCTGTAGTTCCAGTTACAAGCAGTCAAACATTCATTTACATCTGAAAAAAAAGAGTCTTTAAGTAGAGATAAAAAATTAATTTATAAAATTACTAAAACATTAATGATTTAAAAGGATTGTAAAAAATATATAATCTATATAAAACTGTAATTAGGTTATGTTGTAGCACAATAAAATTTCAATTACATTTGGATTATTTTAGAACCTAAAAATGGCCAAATATCTAAAAAGAAAGTTATTATGCTAAAGTTGTCAATATTCTTAGCATTATTTCAATATTGGTATATTTAGTTTTTAAACTACGATAAGATTCAAAAATTATAATTCAACATAGAACAACAATTGATAAAAACAAGAACAAGTTGAAGATGAAGAAAAGAAAGGAGAAAATGTGTGATAATGCCATCAGTTTTTTAGCTAAGGGGTTTTCCATAAAGTACATTTGCCAAAAATTTTGAAAAAATTGACCTCCCCCTGTTGCCATGCATACTTTTTAGTTGTTTTCATCCTTTGAAAAGTACATATGCTTTTGAAGTACCCCCCCCCCCCGCCTCCCTTCTCTTTTCTCTTTATGAGTTAGAAAGTTAAAATTTATTAAAAAAAAAAAGAAGCACAATTTAAGAAATTTAAATATTAGGCATTGTCCATAAATTACGTCAGCATGAGTAAAAATAATGTCATCAAAAAGTGGTGATATTTTTTATATTTCAAAACGTTCCATTTCATTAATATAATTGCTCAATATTTTTCACAAACAAAAGAAGTATAAAAAGAATTTTAAATTTTTTTCATATTTCAATTTTTAATTAATTAGCGCAACAACAGTGTTACTAAGGGTAACAAGTTTAAAAGCTAATGTTTCAAAGTATTGTTAAACTTTAATATTAATTTTTGAAACTGTTACGTAAATAAAATTTTTATAATTTTTTAAACTTTATTTTGTAAAAAATGTTTTTTAATAAAAATAAGATACTATAAGTTATTTCAAAACTAAACAAATAACCCCTGTTTGCATTTACTGTAACTTGTAACATTAACACATCATTGTTGTCTTTAAATAGTCAACTAATTAGTTTGAAAGCAAAATTATTAAAATGAATAATAGTGAAAGATACAAAATTATTTACCAACAAGTAGCAAAAGCTATGCCACAAAAAAGTAAACAGAAGCAACAGAAAGAAGTTAACAAATTGTGGTACAAAGTTAAGCTTAAAGAATTGACGTATAAATCAGTTTTAAAAGAACTCACACGAAAAAATGTTAAAACATCACATAATCAAACTATTGCAGTGAAGCTTCCTCTCATAAATTAAATATCAGATGAGGGACCACGAGCTTTGTTAACATTCGATGAATCAGACAAAATAGATTTTAAAATCAATAAAACACTAGTTACTTCTTCTAAATTTGATATTCAAAAAAGTCAAAAATCACAAACGAAAGTACCAATTGGTCAACTGACAAAATGTCATACTCCACAACAAGAGAATATTCAAACTGAAATTTCACAGTTACAAGAGCAGTTGCTAACATTGGTAAATGTGCTCTGTGCCAGATTGATAACAGGCGAACTTAAAATTATTGCGGTATGATTATATATCGCATATATTATATAATATGAATATAATTATTATTGCGGTAGTGGTGTAGTGGCAGAGCGCTCGCTTCATAAACGAGTGGTTCCGAGTTTGATCCCCACCACGTCCCTGGTAGTACCGCGCTCAACTCGTTTCTCCGAACAGCGGCCTTGTTGGTCAAGGTTCGTGTTTCAAAGTTATAGAGTTGAGAGAGGGTTATAGCCACAAAACAAGTAGCCTCTTTGTCTGTAGTGGCCTTCTCGGCCTTGAGGAGGTGAATTAAAATAAAAAAAAATTAAAAAAAATCAAATCAATTTTTTTAGAAAAGCAAATAAAAATAAAACAAACCTTTTTTAAAAAAATGAATTGCAAGGCAATCTGTCAAAGACAACGCAGAGCAAGTTTGAAACAAACACTTAATGATATTGGCGATGACAGGCCCTACTTAAAATCAAAACTTTCTAAATTCAATAGAGAAAAAAATGGCAGACCAGCTGTAATTGAAGATCAGCCAGATCTTCTGAATCAATAGGAGCCGCTGCTAGCAATCAATAAAGATTGCAGGAGTTACATTCATGTAAGACGCTTGATGACTTAAATAAAAGCCTACTGAGTTATTGTCTGTTGCAATCTGCAACTTATTTAAGACTGATGTCTAAGCCATCAAACACACTTGAGGGAATACATCACATTAAGACAGTCCTGTGAAATTGATCAGGACTAATAATACAGCTTGTGATAAGCATATCAATACTGGATTAACATTTGCGCGCATGCAATACATGGATGAAATTTGTTCAATGTTTGGTCCAGATCCATGCTTTTATTAAAGTCTAGACAACAAAGCTGAAGTACCATTAGGATTAGCAGCTGCAACAAAACAATCACCAATTTTGATGCATCTTGATTATCAAGTACGTTTGCCAAATCATGATTTTTTAGTGGCTTTCAGACATAAGTTTATACTGTCTGTTATGCAGCTTGTATTATTGATCCAAACAAATTTGCTGATACAGTGTCATATTTTGGACCAATGTATATTGGTATTAGATCTATGAAGCATGATAGCAGCACGGCTTTTACTCATGGCCGTGATTTGGAGCGTCTTAATTCAATTAAAAATTTTAAGCTTCACATTTATACTCCAGAAGGTCAGTTAAAACCTATATTTGTTATTGCATGTGATGGAGGCCCTGGTGAAAATCCAAGGTTTCCCAAACCATTGTAAGTTGCAATTGCAAGATTTATTAAATGGGATTTGGATGTCTATCTAACAGGAACTCATGCACCTCATTATTCAGCATATAACAGGGTTAAACAGCATATGGCTCTGCTGAGTCGAGAGTTAGCAGGATTGGTTTTGCCACATAATCATTTTGGAACAAATCTAAATGCATCTGGGAAAACAATTGATGATGATTTAGAAAAAAAGAATTATGCTAAAGCTGCAGAAACTCTAGCTGAGGTATGGTCGGATATAGGTATTGATAACTATTCTGTTTGTGCTGAATATGTTGAACTTTCCTAACTGTTACCAATACCAGAGCAAGATTTAAAATGGATTGCAAATCACAAAAGATAAAGTCAATATTTTTTAATGATCATTAAGTGTGATGTTCCGAATTACTGTAAACCTGGCAAAGTTCCTGGAAAAATAATTTTCCTCAACATTTTTTACCAGGTCCAGTTGTAATGTCTCATGCTGCTGAAGGAATTTTTATTCCTGAGCCAAAGGTAGCACAAAATATTATATTCCGAAATCTTATTTTAATTCCAAAATCTTACTAATATTCTGAAACCTTACTTTTCTCCTCTAGCGCAGCGCTTGGGATATATAGGTTCAAAAATTTCGATAGAAGCTTCCTTTAATTTATACTGCCCATTAACTTCATAACAAAAAATTGATCAAAGAACTTGTAAAATCTGTAAAATTTATCACCCTTCTAAAGCAAGTGTTAAGCGTCACAATCACGTGTTTAGAAAACATAATCAACTCTACCTCTGAGGAAAATAAAAGTGACAATGAAATCAATGATACTCAACAATTAACAGTAAATGAAAGTAATTCTGATCAAGTTCATTTCATTGAAAACATATTTGATTGGGTGAAATCACCCTTTGATTTAGATCACTAACAATTTAAATTAATTGATTAATAATTTTGTTTATAAAATATTAATACGATGTTTTGAAACCTATAAATATAACAAGAATGTTTTTTTTTAAATTTGTGATTATTTAAAAAAAATTCATCACGCTGCCTTAACAACAACCTATACTTTAAAGGTATCAAACAAACATTCTTGTCAGTTTATTGATTTTAAAAGTTGCCTGCTTGTCAGCAAAAGCATTTGATCAACTGCACAAATCTTTCAACAAGTCTTTTTTGTTTTATTTTTTGTAAATGATCTTTTCAATGATTGCATAATAATACACTTCATTTTCAGCTTGATGTTCAGAGTTTAAAATTTTCAAACACTCAATTAATTGCTTACTAAATTAATTGCATTAATTGAAAAAAAAATTTTGTATTTATATAAGATTGAGAACAAATGTGTTTTCTTCACAGTAATTATTCTCCTACTTTAATTGCGATCCAACAACGGTGGAGGTGTAAAAAACATAAGTGGAGTATGTAAAAAAACTGTAACATTGAAATTTTGAAAGAAATTTCCAGGCTGGAGCCAAAATAACTGTTTTGACTATCGCAAGCAAATCATTTTAAATATGGCAAGAAAATCCAAAAATTGTGCATTATCATTAAAACTTTCCCTATTCTTAAATAAATAATAAACATAACCAAGCATGTGAGATGTTTATTTTTACATTTATAAAACGCTTTAAACAATTACTATGAGGTGCCAAATAAACATGCCTGCCCGTTTATTTGGAACAAGAAACCCACCACATTTTTACCAAGTCCATTAAAACTTATTACATTTTTATTGTTAAATTTATATCTCTTTTACTAATTTTTAAGTTCCTTTGGTAAAAAGAACTTTAAAGTTTCCAAAAAGAAATTGTAACTAGATCTTTTTTAAGGGCAAGTATTCTTCCCTCCCTCCCCAACTGTCATTTCATAGCAATGGTCATGGTTTTATTATTTAAAAAAAAATATTTATTTATTATTATATTCAAAATTATAAACGCTTTTTGAAGACCTCCATGAGAGTACGTACTTTATGGACAACCCCTAAACAAATCATGGCTCTAAGAGGTCACTAATTGAATTTATGTAATGAAGATTAAGCTGAAACAACTAAATTAAATTGTTGCTAAAATATGATTCTGTGTTAAATAAACACACTTTAAGAGATTGAATATATAAAAAAATATATAAAAAAATCAAAAAATCTAAACATTTTACATGTTACCTATCGCTCTAAATCAATTAATTAAAAATGTGGAATCAAATATAAAAAGAAAAAATTATCAAAAAAAAAAGAAGCAAGAAATGTTCACTGTAATGCTCTGACTTTAACACTTTCATCATTACTGGTTAAAGTATCAAATGTATTGTGTGCACAAAAAGATATGGTAAGTTTTGTAAAAAAACATTAATGTGATGTGTTATTTGTTTGCTTAGGGTAGTGTTCAAATTTAGTTAATGTAATTATCATTATTTTCCATATAACTTTATTCTGTTGTATCCTCATGTTATTTCTTGTTGCTTCTAACTGTCAATGCTTCAATGCTCTTTACTCTTGCTAAAATAATTTTACATCATCACTAGCCTTTTTTAACATACAAACAATTCATTGTCCATAACATGTTGACAATTAATAAATTGTGGTTTGTCCATATTTTTCTTTGAAAATATTCTGTGGAGATGGGAAATTATACCATTCTTTATTGCAGTATTAACACTGGTTGTATCAGCATTGATTAACTTTAATGAATTCTACAAGTTTCATTAAGAACTTTTGCAATTCCTTCAGCAACATGTTTAGTCTTGCCCATCTTAAATACATGGCATATAACTTCATTTCAATTCTCTTGTTTTTAAGTACCACAACCTGATTATTACTATCCTCCATGTATTTGTTGTAAAAATTGTTTCATGAATTACTTCTCTACTATTTCTATTGTAAACTTATCACCTATGTAAATGTTGTTTTGTAAAATGCTGCTTGACTTAATGTTGAAATATTGATACCATCATGACTGTTGTTTGGAGATTTTAGCAGTTTTATGGGTTGATACTCTGGTGAAGGATCACCAAGTTGATTGCAATTTTATGTTTTTTGTACTATTGATTGCAATTTTATGTTTGTTGAACTTTTTATTTGGTAATAAATCTTCTAAAGACACATTTCCTCTTTTTCTGAGTGACTGCTAAAATCAAACCATGTTTTGGTTCTAGATATCCTTATTCTTTTGCGCATTAGTCACAGAATCACTTATTTGTGCAACATTATATACTATTTAAAGCAACACATAAAATAGCTACACTTGAGGTTTGAAAATAACTTTAAATGTAATTAGTAGACTAATGGTAGAACTTTCAGCTAACAATTATAGGATTCAAGGTTTTAATTGACCCTGTCTCTGGAACTACTGCGCTCAACTTATTTTGAACATGCGTGGAGAAACAGGTTGTAACTTTTACAGGTTAAATTTTTCTTATTTGTATTGTGTTTGTTATTTCAGGAAAAGGTCTAAGAAATAACTGAAAGTTATAAAAAAAAGAATGTAAAAATGTAATAACAATAACTTATAAAGCAATAAATTAAAAAAAATTGAAACCATGCAATAAAAAAAATTGATGAAATTTAGCAGAAATCTTACCAACACAACTTGTATTACTTGCATCAAACTGAAAACCACTCTTACAAGAGCAGTGATAACTTCCTATTGTATTTGTGCATATACTATTGCCCCAGTTACAGGTAGTCAAACATTCATCAGTATCTAAAAATTAATTCATATACATATGAATTTGTATATATATGTATGTATATATATATATGTATATATATATATATATATATATATATATATATATATATATATATATATATATATATATATATATATGTATATATATATATATATATATATATATATATATATATATATATATATATATATATATATATATATATATATATATATATATATATAGATAAATATATATATATATATACATATATATATATATACATATATATATATATATATGTATATATATATATGTATATATATATATATATATGTATATATATATATATATATATATATATATATATATATATATATATATATATATATATATATATATATACATACATATATACATATATATATATATATATATATATATATATATATTTATATATATATACATATATATATATATATATATATATATATATATATATATATATATATATATATATATATATATATATATATATATATATATATATATATATATATATATATATATATATATATATATATATATATATATATATATATATATATATATATATATATATATATATATATATATATATATATATATATATATATATATAGCCCTCGGAATATGCTGACATCGTTCTATGTTTTATGGTAAGACCTTAGTATCAAATTTCTTTTACCGACCTGATGCCGATCTCTTAATTATTAAGGTCAGCAAATTAATGCAGAACTAACAAAACTGTTAGGACCTCAATTTTTCTAATTTCGAGGGTTGTATATATCATACATCATCCGAGTCATATTTTAAAAATCAGGAAAATTGTTTGCATAAATTATCTGGAAAAAATCCGGAATCTGTTTTCCTTTATTTTCTTTTTAATTTCGCTTTTAGCTAAGTTGTTTTTAATTTTTTTTAACACTTCATAATTTTTCTATGAGTGATGAGTGAAAAAGCTTAAAAAAACAATTATATTACAAAAATATATACCTCAACTTGCACGTATTGAAAATGTTTTGGATATCCGGAAAAACTAAAAGTTAAAATAAATATACGGAATTCCGGAAATATCTGGAAAAAGATAATCCCTGATGTATATATGGGAAATTCCATTTTTATGTTGTTACATGCGCAAAACTTTATAAAATATTTGCCTATTTAAACTTTTAACTATTTTGTATGAAAGCTGTTAGTCTAAAGAATAAAATAACCTGAAAAAAATTAAGTCTGGCCAAAAAAAAGGCGAACTTATTACTGAAAATCCCACTTAACTAATGTTACATGAGAAACAAAATAAAAAAATTGCTTGAACTTTTAGGTCAGATTTATGCAAATCAGTAAAGTGGTTTGTAGAAACTTTCACAAGATGTTGAGAATTTTATACTAATTTAAAAGATGAATAAAAAGTTATCAGAGGTGACTGGCTAAAGAAAATGTTCTCTTTTTTTTTTGATATATTATATATTTAACTTATGTTACATCACTTACATAACCAAGCAAATATTATCATGGATTTTTTATATCTATTATTATGTTAGATTTTTTAGAGTTATGTAACAAAAGAATTACAAAAGTATTGAACTCATTCATTAAAAATAATTAACAAAGAAAATTTTAATTTTTCTTTCGTGGCACTCTTTTTGAGTGATTTTTCATAACAATTATCAAAGTTATCAAATCAAAACAGTTTTTACGAAAGACCAAGAGCAACTTTGAAAAATTATTTTAGTATTACAACTTTATTAATACTTATTTGAGTCATTTAAATAAAAAAAGCTTTGGTTTGTTGAAGTTTTTACTTACATTTCTTATGTTTATGCGTATTGTTTTATTTTCATTAGGTTGAATTTTTTTAAATGCTGCAAACTATTTACATATAATTCTTTAAAAATATTTTTGACGTAAAAACTGCTATCACAATTTAGGAAGGAGAGGAGGTTCAAATATATATGATTGTATGTGACAGGAGGGAAGGGGTTAAGAATTGACAAATATAGAGTGACATGCTTTATGGATGACCCCATTTAATTGCATTTACAATCAATTTTTATTAATAAAATAAGTTCTGACTGATTTTTTTTTTCAAAAAGGTTTGAACTGATTTTTTTTTATTTATTAGGAGTTTAGCAAAGAAATCTTTTTTTTTTTTATGTCCAAATAAAAATATTTATATCATTCTTACTTTTACTTATTTGTGTATATTTATATGCCAACCAAAATAAGAATACATAAATGAATTAAAAAAACAATAATATAAATAATTTTAATAAAACATTAAAAAAAAGATTTTTTTTCTAAATTCTCCTAATATAAAAAGTTTAATTTAGAAGCTTCTCAAACCAATGCGACAAAATAAGAATTATCTAATGACATAGTTCATTTTGTAAACACAAACATATATATGTATAACTTAATGTTATATATATAACTTAATAGCTTATATATATAAAAATTCGTACTCAATAATACGTAATAAATTAGCTCGCTGACTATGTGCTCGGATCTGAAATCTCACTCCATAGCACATCATTCCACACCAGCACGGGGCAGTAGCTCTTTTGGCTAAGAGTGATGGCTTGTGGCCTACGGTGACTAATGTGTGCATTCGATCAATTGAAATCCATTCTGTAGGTCTCACGTCTGGCTCTGATGTGCTAGCCCATAAGCGCAAGGAGTGAGTGTGTTTAGCTTTCTATTCACCCGATTTGAAAGTGAACGAAGACATAACGAGACCATACTAGACGACCAAACGGCACATACTAATGCACTACACCATCACACCTGTAGACATGAACGGCCTCTAAAACCAGTATATCAAATATTTGTTCTTTATTATATACTTTTGTTCATAATCTTATTTTACCCTATCCTTGTATATTTATTCAGATTTGTGTTATGTGTGAATGAGGCCGTATATTTGTGAGAAGTATAACAGCGCGAAAATTTTACACAAAAGTACGTATTAGCGTATTTTTTATAACAAATGTATTCTTGGTTGGAATATACTGAACAATTTCATTAGATAAGTTTAGACTAATCACGATTTCGTTAGGTTTTTTTGTTTCTATCTAATTTTCTCGATTTGACGTCGCTAAGTTAGTTTGTTGTGGTTTGCACTATACAGTCTTCACTAACGTTCCTTTGGTCGTTTTGTCAACAATATTGTTTTTTAACGTTACATTTTTTAGTGGTTATAAGCTATTAGTTTAAAATCGCATATATTGGCTTATCTTTTTATTTCCTCATTATTTTCTGCCTACTGATTTGATGTTCGTATATTTTTTTATCTCTGGCTAATCGTTATTTTATTACTCTGAGTCTGTATTGTGTGATAGCTATTGTCTCTACTTACCAGGCAAGATTTATATTAGAACATACTATTTAGAGTTATATATTTTTTTATCATACTTTCGTTTAACTACTTTCGTACTAACCACAAAACATCCTAACTTAGTATCAATGCTTATGAGTGGTATTTACTTATTATATTTATAATACATATTTCAGCCATAAAAGAAACGGTAAGTTACTATTAGTTATTAATTACTATTTTCTATTCGCTTTTTGTTATTTCTACACATTATAATTGTTTATTTACACACGCGCATACGTACATGTGTACAAGTTTGTTTCTTCTAATGTTAGGGTACCTTATATTTATATGTGTTTACATATCTATTTATGGTCACACCACGCGCACTCCTCACCACCCTCACGAGATCTCTAAGAATGTTGGAGCTGTTTTCAAAAACTGGGATAGGGATTGGTTTTTTGGCTTTTGTAGTGTAGTCCTATTATATTGCAATATTGACTAGCATGACGTAGAGTGCAGGCGGTGAGATCTGTTGCAAGGACACGCCCCTGACGAGTGGCGTTAGTGCAGGTCTCGGGCTCTCCGAAACGTCATTGGTGATCGCAGTGCATTCCTGAGGAGGGGGATCACCATTTATCCACTACTTAATTCTAATTGGTCATTATGGCACCAACATTTTTTTACCTCTTAAACCCATGTATTTTTGCGCTTAATGAGCTTTTTATTATGAATTTGTTACATTTACGACATTTATATATTTTTTATGTTACACAGGTGATTATCAATTATCAATTTTTTATCTAGAGTTTAGAACATATATAGTACCACATTTATTAGACATTTGTATGGTGCAATTGTTTTAGTTATGAATACCATTATAAACCAGCGGATTTTTATTGACTTGTTTACTCATAGATCATTATTTCATCATTTGTTTAAAGATGACTAGAGTGTGAGTTTTTATTCCCCCTTTTCCTGAGTTGCTTACTTTTACTCTTCCAACTAAATAGTCTTTGCATTAATTTATGTTTTTTTACCTATATGACATCATCTTCAATCTGTTTTTACTTTCACATCTCCCAGGTCTACGTAACTGGACGGCTCCGTTGGTCACTTTTTGCGATCATTGTGTCGCATAAACAAAAATTTATTCTTTGTGGCTGGTGAGCCCCGACTTTTTCCAATGTACGTCACAACGACAAAACGGACATTAGGCTATCCCGCTGGATGTGGTTACGGCGCTCAATAACCTAATGACTACGCTGACACTCACGCACACGTTCAATCGGAAGCTCCACAATGCACGTCGGATCAGCGCTCGCTGACTATGTGCTCGGACCTGAAATCTCACTTCATAGCACATCATTCCACACCAGCACGGGGCAGTAGCTCTTTTGGTTAAGAGTGATGGCTTGTGGCCTACGGTGACTAATGTGTGCATTCGATCAATTGAAATCCATTCTGTAGGTCTTACGTCTGGCTCTGATGTGCTAGCCCATAAGCGCAAGAAGTGAGTGTGTTTAGCTTTCTATTCACCCAATTTTAATGTGAACGAAGACATAACGAGACCATACTAGACGACCAAACGGTACATACTAATGCACTACACCATTACACCTGTAGACATCAACGGTCTTCAAAATCAGTATATCAAATATTTGTTCTTTGTTACATATGATCTACATACAGAGTGATTAGAGTGTTAGTTTGTTCTCTCCCTGCCCTCCGAGCATTTACTTCGTTCTTTACCTTCACAAAAGTCTTATCACTCATTTTATATTTTCATATTATTTTTATTTTATATTCAATGACACCATCTTCGAACTGTTTTTATTATCACATCTCTCAGGTCTACGAAACTGGACGGCTCCGTTGGTCACTTTTTGCGATCATTGTGTCGCATAAACAAAAAAATACATGCAAACACAAATAAAAACAACTAAAAAGTTTATTAACAAATAATATAAAATTTCAATAGAAGTGTCTTGATACTTTATCAAAAAGCGTTTCAATAACATAAGAGCATTGAAGATCAAACTTATTTAATTGTAAAGAAAACATTTGTCTTTTATTTGCAACAAAAAACTTTATTTATCGTTTTAAATGAATTTTTTAATCTTTTTAACTTCAATGATTCTTATATAACAATTCATTAAAGAGAATTTTGTTGTCTTAGAAAGTCATCGTTTATAAAAATAAAATAAATATTTATTTTTTAATATTGTTTATTATAAAAACTGCATCCTTAAATAATTTATATAAAATAAATTTAAAAAATTATATAAAACTGTCATTAATACTTTAAAAAAAATCTATATCAGTAAATTGTTACTTTATTTAAAGCATTTTGCTAATATAAAAAAGTTTGGTAAGAAGTTTCGATGTAAGTTATTTCACCTAAGGTATAATTCAGAATATTTTTATTCAGCATGTTTTTGAAATAGCTGCGGTTAAATCATCAAAGAAAAATGAGATTTGCCGGGTCATACAATGACATATCCCAGTGGGCACAGAACCAAAAAAAATGTCTTTTGAATGTTCAAAAGACGTCCAAAACGTTCAATAGACGTCCAAAACAGGTATAAGACTTTAAAAGACGTCTTTTTTACGTCTGTGTCCACTGGGATGATCATGTTTTTCTGCGAAACACTGTATATATATATATATATATATATATATATATATATATATATATATATATATATATATAAGGGTGTCCTAGCCACCCTTATATTCTAAAAAAGGTCTGTTCATTTTCTTAAAATATGCTGTTGGTTCTCACAAGCAACTCTGTTAAATATTTTCAAAGTTTTATTGGATTTAGGGAGAGCACAAGACCCTTGAACACTTACTGAGTCCTTAATATTATAAAAAAATAAGTTTTTCAAAAGTATGTCATGCTGGGTCTCAAAAGAAACAAAATTATATAAAAATTTCAAAAATAAGAATCATTTTATAAAAAGAATTATTATCAAAAAAATACACTTTTATCATTTTTAGTTATAAAAGACCTTTTTTCTGCAATAAACTTTAAAAATTTTTAATAAAATTATTATTTTTGAAATTTTTATTTAACTTTAGCAAAAAATTTGGTAAAACATAATTGAAAAGAAAGTAATAAAACAATTAATTAACAACACTTTTAAAATGTTTGGTATACATGTTTCGAAATACATATTTCATCATCAGTAAAATTTACAAAAACCATTAAAAAGTTTTTTCATAAAATCAACGTGATATTGTTCAAGAGTTCTATATTTGACTTGTTTATTTAAACCTTTTATTTAATATAAAAATAGTATAAATAAACAAGTCAAACAAAGAATTCTTGAACTATTATGACTATTATCATTTTGATTTTATGAAAATTTTTTTTTTTAACTATTTGTACTTATTATGGTTTTTTTTAATTGAGTTTTAAGACTGGCGCGTTTATGCTTTTTTATGAAATATATCAATATATACTCGTATGTTTTATTATTTGCTTTTCAATTATGTTTTACCAAATTTTGTGCTGATCTGCTACCTATCTAAAATGGTTTTAGGTGGACAATAGTTGCCAACCTTTTTTTTCTTTATTCTGAGGACTGCCTAATTGATATATTAGTTCATTAGGTAGCTTTATAACGCCGTGGTAGGGTAGTAGTAGAGGGCTCACTTCATAAATTAATAATTAATATAAGAATATACAAATATTTTTTAAAAACGTTGCAAGCAAATAAACAGTAAAGTGCATAAAAATGTAACAAAACTATCAAGCAAAACATACCAATACAACTAGTTTTCCTGCCATTGAATCGATAACCATAATTACAGGAGCAGTAGTAACTTCCTATTGTATTAGTACAATTACTGTTAACCCAATTACACGTGGTAGCACATTCATTTATATCTAAAATAAAATATACATCATACATCATGATGTTAATTGGTCATTTGCTATAACAATATCACACATAACTTCTTATAGCAAATGACTTACTACATTAACAAACTTTGTATATAATATTCCCTTGGTCACCACAACCACTTCAACTTATGCCTATAGATTGATCAAATTTACCCTATGCAAACTGTAGTTTTAACAATTGGAACACCAGCTTATAAACATTTTCATCTTGTTGAAATAGTACAACCCACACTTAACAAAAACAAACTAGTGTAAAATTTATTTTTATTTGTGTCTATGGCAAAAGAATGGGTTATTAACAAAAATAAAATTCAGGTTTCTTTTAACATTATTGATTTGTATGTATCTGTTCCACTCGAATAGCAACAATATGTATTATTTTGTTGTTGGCAGATATTCACAAACTTTTTGAGCTTTGTGTAAGTAAACATTATTTTTTACTTCATTTACTTCATACTTTATTTATTTCAAAAAACTTTGGTCTAATGGGTTTATCAATTATGGTTGTTACGGAGGTAATATAGAATCTAACAAGATTTAAGCTTCAATATCTAAGTTTATAAGTTTCAATAGTGTGCTTGATTTTTTAATTTTGAAAATGCAAACTCTTTTTTTTTAGCTTATATACACAATAAAAGTAATAAACAAATAGATCATTAAATACTGTTGTAGTGTTTGATATCTGATAGTATGCAAAAAAACTGTATCAAATGGGAAGTAGCTATAATTATCCTTTCAAAATCATCTGTACTTTATGAGAAAACCCATATTCGAATGATTACAGAACAAAAGGCATGGGAACAAAGAACCAAACTGCTTGCCAATGTTAAAGTGAAAGCAATTCCAATCCACTGTCGATATGCCTGGCCTTAAGCTAGCTAAAAAAGAGAGAAAAAGTCCTAGCTCAGACAATCATATTGTGAACTGCTAACACATAACAACTCATCAAAAATCCAGATAGATTATCAAAAATCCAGATATCTATTTAGTAGAATTGCGATCCTAGATGATAAACATGATGGCAGGTTGATTTCAACTTTGTGTATGAGAATGTGATTGATGAGGTTAAATGTTTTTACAAAATCAAAAAACATAGCAGTTAGTGAGGTATTGCAATCAATAGCATATCCTCAGTCATCTATTACTTGTATGATGGCATGACTAAAACTTCAAGAAAAAAAAACAAATTCACTATTTGATAATAGTTCATCTTGTACAAATAATACATATTTTCCATGTGACCACATACTATTCTTTCTGTTGACTTTTATTTATTTTGTAGGATATTCTCTGTCATCTATTCTTGATCACTGCATACTTTAATAGTACATAGAGGCTGATGTTTAGTTTATGCATCAGTGATAGCATTCTGGAAGGCTAAATGAAAGAATAAACCAAGTAGGTTCAACTCAAGGTTTTGCAAAAATACTATGCATGTCAAGTATCTAATTATATCATACAGCAGCAACTTTGTCTTTAATTAGCTCAGATCACATTTGGAAGCATTTAGGTTTTGGATGAGTGTTTTTATACATATAACTGTAAAGTGTTTCATTTCCGACAATTTTTCGAAAATGGTTATGTTACATGCATAACAGGGTAAATAATGGGCCAAAAAAAAGTCTTTAAATCTTTACCCTTTTCTCAACTTTAAATTTAAATTACTTAAAAAATAATTAATTTAATTTTATGTTACCTGGTGTGTATAATAAAGGTTATCGAATAAACATTTGGCCAAATTTTTCAAAATATTGGTTAATGTTTAGAGGTCGCCGAATTATAAAATTTTATTTTTTCAACATATTTTTTTGCTGAAAAATTGCTTAAATGCTTCAAAAAAACTTCACCTTAAATAAAATCCATAATTTATGTTTAGAGCATAATTGACCACTAAAAGCTGTTGCGTGATTAAATAGTTTGCAAAATAAACATCTGGACATATGTATTTAAATTTCATAAAGTTATAAAAAAAATTGGTTCTTATTTCAATTAGCAAAATTGAAATTTTAAATCAATCTTAAAACTAGTTGGATAAGCGAATATTTTGTGGTAACAATGAACCTAAGAAAAAATAATCAAGATTGGTTAATTGGTTACCCTGAATCCAATAAATTATCAAGTTTCAGTCGTCTACCAACAAAAAAAACATGTTTTGGGTAGATACTCTCATTTACATTTTTATTCAAAAGGCAACACTTCTGCAAGAGATATTTTTAAACTTGTTCTTGGTGAGCTTAAGGAAGTTTGAGAAAAAGCTGGAGTACCAATTCGATCAGATAACTCTTGTCTTTCATTGCTTACCAAATTATTTGTGGAAATTGTGAAAATAAAAAAAATTGATCACACAAGTCAAGATGTTAAAGCTGGAAAAGAAAAAATTGTCAGATTTTGTAATGAACTTGAGCAACTTCGCGACATTTCAGCAGTAAATGTATATGAACAGTTATTAGTATCACTTAGACCAAAATGGAAAGAGGATTGGGCATTTTATGAAGATCAAAAGAGTAGCAGAAAGTATCACATGATACTTTCTTATATACATGATAGGTAGCATCGATCTAGTTGTTTCAAAATTTTTCAAACGTCGAGAAGATAGACTAAGCATAGATTTTTGGAGAAGTTCAACCGAAGATCAAAAATCGAGTGCTTTTGAAGTCAGTGAATTAGTTGAAAGTGCTGATGAAGAAGATCAAAGAGATACAGAGTTTACTCCTTTACCACTAAAGAAAAGAAAACAAATTCACTAGAGATATCAGCAAACAAGCTCTCAGAAGTAATGGCATCTGTGGCAGATCAATGTTGTTTATCAGTTCGCCAACAACTTCTATTTCAATCTACTATCATCTGCAATTGCGGAGGCAAACTTGATGAAATATGTCAGTATCAACTGTGCATCGCCAAAGATAAAATGCGCAGGAGAATATTGTTCTGTCAATTAAAGCTGACTGGGAGATAAACAAACCTAAAAAGGCCATTTTGCACTGGGATTCAAAGCTTTTTCATTTAGACATAGCTCATAATGAAGAACGTGTAGCAGTTCTTATTAGTGGATCTCTTAATGGGTACTTATTTATTTATTTATATAAACCCTATGTATATTTTTTATTTTTGCATTCAAAGAAACTAACTTAACTTTTATTTGCAGGCCGATACTTATTGGTGTACCTTTGATTAAAGATTCGACGCATAAAACTCAATGTGACATGGCCGTGAAACTTGCGCAAGATTGGAATATTTTGGAAAACATTGTTGGCATATGCTTAGATACAACAGCAAGCAACACAGGCAATAAAAAAGGAGCAGCAACTTTAATTGAAGTTGAGTTAAAGGGACCTCTCCTATGGCTAGCATGTCGCCATTATCATAATGAGCTACACATCAAACATGCATTTACCGCATTACGAGAAGGTAGCAAAAGTCCAGATGAACCTATTTTTAAACGTTTCCAAGCCAAATTTTCTAGAATTGATATTGATTACTCTAACTTTAATTTTTTTGAATGGCCTACTGATATTAAATCAGAAATATTTAATCTAGCAAATTTAGTTCTGAAATGGGCTTACAGGGCTCGAATTAAGTGATCACGAATTGCGATATCTGGAAATGCTTCTGGTCTTTAAAATTTAGCTTTTTAAAAACCGTAAAACTGTTTTGATCACTAAACTCAATAGATATCATTTAATAAAAAATATTTACGCCAATTATGATATAAAATCTTAATGTAAAACCATATTATCACTATTATTTTTATTATTATCAAAGATTATAATTTAAACTTTAATATTTTTATTTATTTTATAAAACATCAGATAAAACTAGAAAAATAAAGCACAATAAAATATGATATAAATATTAAAAAACAAGCGCTAGTCACAAGTATATAAAGGACTTTAACAGTGATCGAATATTTTATAAAAGAAATTGTTAATTAAGATATAAAATACTATTATATGTTATTTAAATCTCATTCAATATTTTCTTATAAATTTAATGCTTGTAACACTTTAGCTGATACGAATATAAAATTAAAAGACGGAGGAGTTAATATATAAAAACTAATTTCTACTTTTTAATTGGCTGTTTTTTTCTACAAAGTTTTATACAATGTGCAAATAGCTTAAGCATTGTTTTTAATTGGTTGATTTTTAAATTACCGCGAAAGTTTTTCGGACCATTAGTAATAATAATTTTTGTCTTGCAACTTTCTTTATTTATAATCCTTAAGTTACATATTAATAATTATTGTTTAAAAAAACAATAACTAATAATATGTAAATTTTGACTTTTATTATTTTTGCAGTAGTAAATTTATTGTTTTGCTTTTTCATTGATTTTTGCAATATGGTAAACTGACCATTTCATTAAAACAGTGTTTACGGTTTTTTGAAAAACTAAGAATTTAATGACCAAATATATTCGGATATTGCAATTCGGGATCACTTAATTTAAGCCCTGGGCTCGTAAAGAAAATATTTCTGCGAGAAGATTATTTTGAGTTAATTGAATTAACTATTATCTATCTTGGGGGAAAACTATAAATGGACAGAATATTCAAAATTCACAAACCAGGTGCAATTCACAATGCAAGATTTATGTCACATTTTATATATATTTTAAAAATGGAATATATCTTATAAATTATGATCCACCACATGGCTAAGTTGATTAGTCTTTTTTATTCGATGCAATTTCTCCGCTTGAGGATTTCCGTATTTGTTCCAGTTGATGACTTCAGATTTTTTGTTGCAATGAACTGGTATCAAGAAGAAGATTCAGATATCGCAACTGCTGTGATTTCATCAATTAACCGTCACCTTTGGAATTTAATAGAAGAGCTTGTTATTTTATCTTTATTTAATGAAAAATTGTCAGAATTTATCAGAACAATAATGGCAAAAAAACTTTTTTCTACCCCAAGACCAAAAACATTTTTATTTGGGAAACCAAAATTTCCGACATTAAATTCTTCAACCTTTATTTATTTTTTAATTGGACCATGGTCTTTTTGATTTATTAGGACTAATAAACAACCAGGAATGGCTCCAGATGAATCCACAAGAGTGGAAATTCTTCCAAAATTATCGAACTGCAGAAAAATTTGTTAAACAATTAGAGGGAACAAATGATTGCGCCAAAAGAGGAATCAAACTTATTTGTGATTTCCGCGAGTGTGTGCAAAATGAAGAACAAGGACAATTTATTTTGCAAGTTGTTGAACAACACAGAAAGCAAAATACATCCTATTCAAAATCAAAACTAACTAATACTTTATAGTATTTTTTATATTACTAATATGTTCTTTATTATTATTCTTAGAAAAGCTAAAGCCTAAAATAGCCTAGTTGAATTTTTTTTTTAATATTTCAAAAAATAAAAAGTTTTTTAGCTTTATATTTTAATACGACAACCTCTAGACATTCACCAATTTTTCTGAAAATTTCACTAAATGTTCATCTAATAACCTTTTATATATACACCCAGTAATGTAACATAAAATTAATTATTTTTCAAGTTATTCAAGTTTAAAGTTGAAAAAAGTGTAAAAAACGCTATTTTTTCAAGATGGCGACCTCTAGATGACATTTTAAAATTTTGAAAAATTTTCAGATTTTTTTTTGGCACATTATTTACCCTGTTATGCATGTAACGTAACCATTTTCGAAAAATTGTCGGAAATAAAACAACCTAAAGAAACCTATATGGAATCTTTATTGATTGAAGATAAAGTTGGGCCTAGTGGTTTTAGAGTTTTGGAAATATAACACCTTTGTTGACAACAGCATTGGCTGACAACAGGCGTAGGGAATAACTTGTGAATAGTATTTGTGTAATTAGGATTAACTATTATATAACTGTCTCTTGAATACAACTGATTATCTTATGGATTGTGGAGGTAAGCCATGTTTCAATGAAAAATTTGATGTTAGGTTGTGTCTTCATGTATTTGAACAAGGTGAACTACCTTGGGATTGATAGAATGTGTGTTGTCATGATTGGCAATGACATTGTGATCAAATATGGTTATTATGTAGTCGCTAGAGGATTTAAAGAGATATTACTAAAGATTTGAAGAATTTTCACTTAAAAGAAAATGCTGTTGGATGATGATGTGTAGGTGTAGATAAAATTCAACATTTGTCTGTTTGGTTTATACAGTTTTAGAAAATTTATTACATCTGTGAAACTCTGAGATTATATGTTCAAAAATAATTCTATTAACTTTAAAATGCCTATTATCTTTAAACTTAAATATTTTTAAACTTATGACTGTGTAAATAAACTCCATTGAAATTCTTTAGCATACAATAAATCCTTCTCAAAGTACACATTAAATCTTAGTACTCTCAATGTGCTAGGGTTTACCTCAAAGTGCTAGGGTTTACCTTAAAGTGCTAGGGTTTACCTCAAAGTGCTAGGGTTTACCTCAAAGTGCTAGGGTTTACCATACATTAAAATTGATCAATTTTATTTCTAGTACCATTTCAAGTAACTATTCTAAAACTTGATAAAACTTTAAAAAAATTTTATTATCAAAACTACTCAATGTAAAACTTTTTTGTTTTACTTCATTTGTCATTTTTTATTTGATATCAGTAGATATTGATTATAATGTTATTCTATTTTTACATACAATTAATGAGTTACAATAAAGAAAAACGTACCAATACAACTTGTTTTATTGGAGTTGAATTGAAAACCCTTTTCACAAGAGCAGCTGTAACTTCCTATAGTGTTTATGCAATTACTGTTTTCCCAGTTACAAGTGGTCAAGCATTCATTTACATCTGGAAGAAAAAAGTTTTTAAGCAGAGATAAAAGTGATCAAGTAGACATTGATTCATTTATATCTGAAAAAAATATTTTTAAAGCTGTGATTAAAAATTATTTTTGTTGCAAACAATTTTGCATTAAGTTTATATTTAAAGTGGGAATATTTTTTAAGTTGTTTATGCCACTTTGTTTAGTTGTTCGACTTTTTGAACTGTTGTTTGTATTTTGAACTTTTTCTATGAATTGCAAAGTTGAAACTTTTATACATTTAAAATTTTGTACAGTCTGCATTGTAAGTTTTATTGAGTAAAATAAAGCAGGTTGTTATTTTTCTTTTTCTCTTTCTTAGTAAGTTCTCAGTCATCTTTAAAGTTGCATTTTTAACACATTATTTTTAAAGCTGTGTTTTTAGCAAGTTGTTTTTAAAGTTGTGTTTTTAGCACATTTTTTTCCATTCCTTAAAATTCATTTGCTAACTCAATTTAGTTTGTTAAACTAATTTTTATAAGCGCATTTGTCTATAATGTAAAAGTGTAAACTTTTTTTTTTTTTTTTTGTGAAAAGCTTGAAAGGATACACAGATATATATATTTTTATTATTTCACATCAACTTTAAAAAGCATAGCAAATTTATATATGTGTGTGATAACTGTTTATAAATCATAATCTAGTTATAAAAACAGTGCTGGGCTTTGCAATGAAACTCAATTGATGGTATGTGCTCCGCACATATATTTTTTCCAGTGAAAGGGTATTCTTACTTCTAATTTCACATTTTTATATGTTTATTTTAAAACTTTTTATAAATTACTGTTTATCTCTTGTCTTGCTTTGCACATGGCCTATTGTATGTTGCATGTTCAAGAAAAGGATCATTTCTTAAAGTGTTATTTAAAGTTAAAAAACGTTACCAGATACATTACTAATATATTTTCATAGAAACTATGATGATATACTCTTTATTGTTATAAATATTTTTTTTTACATTTCTTTAGTTCTGTTTTTTTGAACCCTCAATTGTTAAACAACGACTTAAATTTTGTAAATTTTCATAATTTCAAACTTAATTATTTAATGATAAATCAAAATATTTCATGTTTCCTGTTTTTACAGTTCAGAATACTTCCTGTTTCCTGTTTTTACAATTCAAAATACTTTTGTTTCCAGTTTTTACAGTTCAAAATACTTGTGTTTCCTGTTTTTACAGTTCAAAATACTTGTGTTTCCTATTTTTACAGTTAATTGCATTATTGCTATTTTGCACCATGTTTTTTTTTTGTTTTTTTGTCATTTTATTATTATGATATAGCCAAGGCTTGGTTGAAATGAATATAACAGCTTAAACATCAGTAACAACATCAATAAGTAAATTGTTTTGATAAAATATTTGTTCTTTTTTATAAAAAAGAATTTTAGTTATGTTTTGCTTGTAAATTAATTTTGTTGAAAATATATATTTTGTTTTTTTTAGTTAATATTTTATTTATGTTTTGCAAATGTTGTAAATTTTGTAAACCACTTTTTTTTTAAAAAGATATACATTTTGCTTCTTTTTCTCAACAATTGTTGTTTTGGTAATTGTTAATAAATTTATACACTTTTATAAGTAAATATATACTTTTATTTTGCATTTTATTATCTTGGTAAAAAATCCTTTTGATTTAAAACCTTGATTACTTTCAATTAAGTAACTCTTCTCGCCTGGCATTTATCTGTGCATCTATCAAAGTAAAGAGACAAATTTCTTTATTAAAGTAGGTGATGTTACATTCACATTTTTTCTTTCAAAATTAAATTAATATACGTCTTTTCTCATCTTGTTTATTATTAGAAGTTTTAAAGTATGGAACATTAATTGTTAACTCAAGGCCACGATTTTTAAATGAATTAACTTCCTACCATTTACGGAAAATTGTTGAAGTGACCATATTAGGAACAAGTACAGAAATGGTAGATATTGAAGAAACTTACCATGACCCATATTAAACGGGTCCAGGCAGCTAGCATAGTAATACTGCTGCAAGTTTTCTTTACTATTGCTATAAATGTGCTTGGTGTGAGAGATTTTTTGTAATGAAAAAAAAAGATTTATAATGAATACTTTGTATTTAAGAAATCTAGTCAAAATCATTTTAATAAAAACTGTGTAAAATGTTCAACTTCTATGCAATAAATTTAAAAGTTTGAAAAAGTTCATAAAAAGAAAATGTAAAAGGGTAATAATAATTGCATATAAGATGACCAATTTAAAATCAAAATTAAGGAATAAAATGAATCAGTATAATTTTGAACAAATCTTACCCCCACAACTTGTTTTATTGGGGTTAAACTGAAAACCGCTATTACAAGTACATTCATAACTTCCATTTGTATTTTTGCATTTACTGTTGCTCCAATTACAGGTAGTCAAACATTCATCAATATCTAAAAATTAATATACTCACATATACATGTTTACAACATTTTTATTATTTATAACATTTTTGAAAAATATCTGTTCAACATCACTTGTGTACTATATGTGTATTGCATAACAGTTAAATAACAGCTGGGTCTCAAATGAAGAAAAAAAAAATTGAAATAATACTAAAATTTTAAAAATAATCATTTTATAAAAAACATCAATAAAAAAATGATAATTAAAACATCTTGTAAAAATGAACTTTTATTATTCTGTTTTTTCATTCTCCTAAAAAATTTGTAAAAATTGTTCAGGAGAATGAAAAGAGCTCTTCAATTATATATTAGAAGATTATTAAAATTATAATATAAATAAAATTAAATAATTATAATTGAACTTGAAACATGACTCAAAATTTCATGTTTAAATTTGTACTCCAAGTCATGTTAACATTTTTATAAATTAATATATAATATAAAATAATTTTAATACTAAATAATAGAAAATTTTTTTTAAAAAAGATGCAAGAAAATAAGCATTAAAGTGCATCAATAAAACTACCAAATAAAACATACCAATACAACTAGTTCTCCTGCTATTGAATTGATAACCATAATTACAGGAGCAGTAGTAACTTCCTACTGTATTTGTACAATTACTGTTGTCCCAGTTGCACATAGTGGCACATTCATTTATATCTAAAAAATTATATATATATAATATGATATATATATAATATAATATATATATATATATATATATGATATATATAATATAATATATATATGATATATATAATTCTATTTTTTTAACTAGAAACAGGAAAATAAAATTTCATCTAATTATGCCTCATGAAAAAGAAGTTGCTATAAAATACAAAAATACAAATTTTTTAGTTAAAAAAGACAACAAGCTAATAAACAAAATGCATTAGTAAATTATTAAGTTAAAGATACCAATGCAATCAGTCATGTTGCTGTTTAATTGATAACCAGTATTACAAGAGCAGATATAACTTCCTATTTTGTTTGCGCAATTGCTGTTCTTCCAGTTACAGGTGGTGGCGCATTCATTTATATCTAAAAATAAATATTTAGATGGTTCTGAAAATAGATGTGCAAATAGATTGGGCATTATCACCATATTTATTATATATATATATATATATATATATATATATATATATATATATATATATATATATATATGTATGGATATAAATATATATATATATATATATATATATATATATATATATATATATATATATATATATATGTATGGATATAAATATATATATATATATATATATATATATATATATATATATATATATATATATATATATATATATATATATATATGTATATATATATATATATATATATATATATTTATAATAACAAGTAAAAAATTTTTTGTTTTATATGCATAAATAATTTGTTAGCGGTCTTAAGATTGTCTTTAAACAAACTTGAAAAGTCCTACAAAAGTCCTACAAAAGGAAGGGAAGAAAAAAAAAAAAAAAAAAAAAAGTCCTACAAAAGGAAGGGAAGTAAAAAAAGAAAAAAAAAAGAAAAAGAACTTTGAATTAAAAAAAAAGGAACACTTAATAAACTTAAAAAAATAAAAATAAATAAAAAATAAAAAAAGAACGAAAAGGAAGTAAACAAATAAAATAAAAATTAAAAAGTAAAGAAAAAAAAAAAAAATTTTTCCATTCAGTACTTTATCAGATAAGGAGCTGCACCTGCAAACAATAAATGATAAAGTGATTCATATTAATGAATTCGAAAACAACATATCATCTTTCCCAAACACCATACAGTCTAATCTTTATAATAAACTTAATGATTTTATTTCCCATCAACTTAATAACAACAATGACAATGACGTAAACCTCCAAGAAAACCCTATTAATTGTAAATATATGGACATAGAAAGTTTTAATTCTTCTAACATCGGCAAAAATAATTTTTCTCTTTTTCATTTAAATATTGCTTCTCTTGTTAAAAATTTTGACGAATTAAACTCACTTTTTTCTCTTATTAATCATAAATTCAGTATTATTGGCATAACTGAAACTAAACTAAAAAATGACATTCTACCAACTATCCCATTAAATCTTACTGGTTATGTTTATGAGCACACTCCGACAAAATCTTATTTTGGAGGAGCTTTACTTTTCATATTGAATACATTAATTTACAAACTTCGATATGATCTTAATATGATTAAACCAAAGCTTTTAGAATCAGTGTTTATGGAAATCATAATTCCTAAAAAATAAAACATCATTATTGGCTGTATTTATTGCCATCCTAGTATGGATATTTCAGAATTTATTAAATCATATTTAATTCCACTTGAAAAGCTATCTATGGAAAAAAACAAAACTACTTTTTTAATAGGCGATTTTAATGTCGATCTTTTATTAGCAAACTCAGATAATTCTGTCTCTGAATTTTTAGACACTATTGTTTTAAATAACTTTCTTCCCTTTATTTCATAGCCAACAAGAATCACAAATCACTCCAAAACTCTAATTGATAACATATTTTCTAATGCAACTTCTACAAATATTTTTGCCGGTAATTTTACTTCTATGGTATCAGATCATATACCCCAATGTTTAATACATCCATTTTATAGAACCAAAATTAATACTCGTAAAAGCTGCATTTTTCGTCAAACAAACGTTAAAAACAAATTGCGTCAAGTTATGTAGTGATTTCCCCAAAAATTAGCTGGACTAATGTAATCAATGTCGATGAAGGTAAAACTAATAAGTCATTTGAAGAGTTTTTCTCAAGTTTCAATTCTCTTTTAGATAAACATGCAACATTGAAAAAAGTCGCAATCGCTGCTTATCAAGGGGTCTCAAACCTTGAATAACACGAGGAATCTTGACTTCTATTAAAATGCGAAATAAAATATTTAACAAATTTCTTAAAGCAAAGAATCCTAATAACAAACTCAATCTAGAAAAGTCTTATAAAACATATAGAAACTTACTTGTTACTCTCACCTGTCGTAGTAAAAAGAACCATTACTCTAAGTTCTTCTCTGACAATGCCAAAAATTTGAAATCTACATGGGATGGTATTAAGAACCTTTTAAACATTAGTTCGAGAGTTAACTCATCTCCTTCGTGCTTATCTTCTACCAACTCCATGATATACGACCCCATTAAAATTTCGGAATCTTTTAATTCATTCTTTGTTTCAGTTCCAGAAGATTTACAGAATAAGATCCACTTATCCAAAACTGACTTTAATAAATATCTTAAAAATCCTTATCTTAATTCAATGTTCATAAAACCTACAGACAAAAGCGAAGTATTATCGATTATTCATTCTCTTAATGACAGCAAGGCTTCGGGACCTAACAGCAATCTAATACCTATTTTTAAAGCTCTTGCAAATGATATCTCTACTGTACTTTCTGAACTATTTAATCTGTCATTCACAACTGGTGTATTCCCTGATATTTTAAAAACTGCTTCTGTTATCCCAATTCATAAAAAAGACTCAAAACTTGAATGTAATAACTACAGACCAATTTCATTATTATCAAATGTCAGCAAACTTTTAGAAAAACTTATGTATTCTTGTATTTATAACTTTTTAAATAATTCAGCTTGTTTTCATATTCGACAACTTGGGTTTCACTCAAATCACTCCACTTCTTACGCTCTTATTAGCATTACTGAAATGATTCGTGGTGCAATTGACAGTGGTTCTTTTGCTCGTGGTGTATTCATGGATCTTCAAAAAGCTTTTGATACGGTTGATCACAACATTCTAATCAAAAAGTTAAACTACTACAGAATACGTGGTGTTGCTAATCATTGGTTTCCTTCATATATTACAGATTGCACAAAGTTTGTTTTAATTAGTGGATTTGAATCCACACATAAAGTTATTAAATATGGCATTCCACAAGGTTCCGTTCTTGGACTGTTGTTGTTCTTATTATATATAAATGATTTATCTTGTTCATTAAAAAATTCTATGATACATCATTATGCTGATGATACCAATCTTTTATATATCAACAAATCCCTCACAACTCTTTGTAAAAAAGTTAATCAAGATCTTCATCGC